TGCAAATGAACGGATCTTACTCCATGTGGAACTCCTACCACAGGAAATATTAGTGACCTTTTTCCTGCAATTGTTTAAGGAATAAGGCCAGGATTGAGGGAAATTAATAGAAAAACAAGTACACATTCTGCACATTCTGCCTTGTGCATCAACTCATAGCTGATGCACAAGGACCGTGGGAATTACACACATATATAAGTTAAGATGGAAATGATGGGCATGCATGTAATTTGTTCTCTGATCTGGGGTGATGAGTAATTTTGAACCACAGCAGTGAGGATTTTTAAATAACAATTCTATTTTCTGACATGGATATATAAAAATGCTGTGTAAGATCATGAACTATTTTTACTCATCCATAATGCCTGAACCTGTTATTATTTTTCACTAGGATTATCACTGTGTACCTGAATGGAATCAGTCGAAATCAATTTATTGCTCACAAATTATCATAGATAATTTCGGTAACACTTTATGTTAAGGTGTCCTTGTTACACATGTTACATGTACTTACTATTATAATAACAATTAATTATGCATAATTACATGCAAGTAACCCTACGCCAAACCCTAATCCTAACCTAACCATATAGTAAGTACATGTAGTTAATTAATATTACTCAGTACTTACATTTATAATTACACTGTAACAAGGACACCTTAAAATAAAGTGTAACCATAATTTTTTTATTTACACATTTATTAATTCTGTAAAAGCAAGCCTTAAAAAAATGTATTTCCCATTTTTATTACAACAATTATTAAAAACATTTAATTCACTGTATGTTATTTTGTAACTTTCTAGCAATTAACATAAAAAAAAAATAAAATACATTTCAATTAAAAATAAATAGATAAAAATGTATTAGAGCCTAAATTAAATTATCATTTTATATTTACATTAATTTTATATTAGATAATATTTGATCAAATAATAGTCACAACACAAACATAAGATTTCTGACTTCAAAAATAAGTCATGTAATGTGTCATTTACTAAAGTGATTTGTCAATATTTATAAATTAATATAGTGTTAGTATATTAATAAAAATGAATATTTTCTTTATAACAGATATTTAGGTAGAAGCTATGGTGATTTTTTTTTTTTGCAAGAGAAAATTACTACATTCTTTGCTGCGTTGTCTTGTAATTATGACAACGTAATTACAGATTATTACATAATTAAAAACCAGTGGGAAAAAACAACCACAGTGTGCAAATGTGACCCGAGAACTCCAAATGAACCTATTAAAGGAGCACAAATCACCATGGCAATCAAAGTTTACAATAAAACTGTTGCAAAAAGACAGTTAACACAATGACAGAAAGATTCTGACAAGCTTCTGGCATTAATTAAAAGAGATGCCTTGTTAATTACGTATGATTTACAGTAGTAACAATAGCTGGAGTTTCTCTACTGTATGATTAGCACTGGATGTTGAACTATTAGATTAGTCACTTCTTAATTCAGTGTCTAATGATCTGTCTAGACAGGGCAGATCAGTTAGATTACCGGTCCCATACGCTTCATGGAGCAGCTCAATTAAAGATTCTTCAGAAGGGTAAATAATATACCATACTGGATTTTAAAACCTCTGAATTTTTTTTTTTTTGGTTAAAGGAAGCAGTCAAACTACAGAGCTGCGATACCCAAATGCACCGACACACAACGATGCCAGAATAACACATAACAAAAATATTAGTACATAATAGTGCAAACTAATTTGGGGACCGCAGCAACCACAAAGACTTGACACGTTGCCAGGGTCAGAGGCTATACCAGCTCTCCCACCATCAATTATATCAACTGCCTTTACTAGCGCATAAGAAAAACCCAGACATTTTACCGGTCCCATACGCTTCATGGAGCAGCTCAATTAAAGATTCTTCAGAAGGGTAAATAATATACCATACTGGATTTTAAAACCTCTGAATTTATTATTATTTTTTTTTGGTTAAAGGAAGCAGTCAAACTACAGAGCTGCGATACCCAAATGCACCGACACACAACGATGCCAGAATAACACATAACAAAAATATTAGTGCATAATAGTGCAAACTAATTTGGGGACCGCAGCAACCACAAAGACTTGACACGTTGCCAGGGTCAGAGGCTATACCAGCTCTCCCACCATCAATTATATCAACTGCCTTTACTAGCGCATAAGAAAAACCCAGACATATGCACAAAATAGCAAATTAACTTTGTTCCGACTTTTAGTAATTCTGAGAAAGTTACAGTAAAAACAGCCAGAGTGCTAACAAAAAAAAGTAATTACATGCTTACCTCCTTGGAGAAACTAAGGAGAGGGAATGGGTGCATTTAGGGATGCAGACGCCATACTACCGGAAACTATCAGCCGGCATGTGTTACTGTTAGAAACCGCAAGAGGGCGCAGGAGTGGAACCTAATTTTACACTGTTGTTGATTCACAACGACCGAAACAGCTCTTTAATTAATTAATGAATTAATAATAATAATCATTACAACTAAAAATACTTAGTAATTAAACATTAAAAACACTGATAAAGCTGGAAAACAACGCAGAGATTAATAATAATCATAATATATTTGTTACTATTTAATTCTAAATATCTTTTTAAAACAAATTACAGCAGAGATGAATAATAATATATTCGTTATTACATAAAATGTAGCAATAATAATAATACATTAATTTCATATAATTATAAACAATATCTTAGTCATTATTAAACATTAAAAGCATGAATAAAGCTGGAAAACAATTTAAAGCAGAGATAAATAATAATAATAATAATAATACAATTAAAACATTAACAAAGCTTGAAAATAAATTAAGGCAGATTATTAATAAAAAGTATTACATTACTATGTAATTAAAAGTAAAATAAAATCTATTAATTGTTAAACATTAAAAACCTGAAGGCAAAGCAGAAATGAACAACAACAATATATTTGTTACTATGCAATTAAAAATAATGTATTAGTAATTGTTAAACGTTAAAAATATTCATAAAGGTGGAAAACTAAATAAGGCAGAGATTAATAATAAAAAAAGCAGGAAAACAAATCGAGTCTGCCCAACACATATCTCTTACTTTATTTACATGTGTGCATAAAACTGATACACTGGGAAGATATCTTACAGTGTCATCAGACAGCCCTGTCTGTAATTTATGATTTACAGAGTATATATCTCATAGAATATGATAGTTAAAGATTTTCCTGGATCCCCTCATCACTAAAACTCAATCAGTGTGAAAGGAGACAAAAATGAGTGCAAAACCTGACTTTAAGTCTACTAACGTAGAGTATTGAAGGATGTGAGGTACTCTGGAGTAATCTGGTAAGCATATTTACTTGTTTACAATGTGAAGAGACAATCAACAGTAAATGAACTGGTTTTCAGAAAGATGTGCAGTCCAGAGGATGAAGATCAGAGGAAAATATAGCAATTCATTCGTTCCGATTATAATCCAATTCCAAACACAACGTCTGAGCTCTCACATCATTGTGCAAAATTCAAGTGTTAAGAAACCACCAAACCTAAACACCTAGAAATTGACAGATAATAATGTAACTTATTAAACCAAACAAGTTTATTAACTGAGAACAAAATAATCTCAAATAAAATCCCACAACCGTGAGAAGAATCACATCTTAAATAACTATATCAATGACACCTGAAATATGTTGAACTAAGTCTTTTCTCAGAAAAAAATACATTTAAATTTCTTGGTCTTTCATTACCAACACTCTTGAGACGTGAAGCTGTTTTTACAGTCAATGTGTGTCTGTCCATTTGCAAATTCTATTCTTTTTGATTTTTTAATAGTTCATCTATTTGCGTTTTGTACATGTTCTTCACATCCTCCAGGTCCAGACTCAGCTCGTCGGCCTCCTCTGCCTTCTCTCCATACATCTGCAGAATTGTGTTGTGCCTTTGTTCCAGATCCTGTGATAAAAACAAACGTTTGGTCAGTGTTTATCTAACAGAATAAAAGTGCAATACCTATTACTGTGCTTATTAGGCAAACTGATCATCTAGCAGGCTCTCTGAAGGAATGGTGAAAATGTTTTAATTGGATGTAAATACAGTAGATTTAGTCTATACTTAGAGGAAACAGAGGGAGACTTTAATGGAGAACAATCTTATTCTTACATTTAGCAAGGATGCCTTCAAATTTAAGTGACTTAAGACATTTATAATATCCTATAAATTCTTAAAAATAATTATATTTCAAATAAATGCTGCTATTTTTAACTTTGTTCATCAAGGAATCCTAAAATATATATATATATATATAGTTTCCACAAAATTATTAAAAAGCACAACATTTTCAGTTTTCAAAATTGATAATAATAATAAATTTTTCTTGAGCACCAAATCAGCATATTAGAATGATTTCTGAAGGATCATGTGACTCTGAAGATTGGAGTAATGATGCTGAAAATTCAGCTTTGCATCACAGGAATAAATTAAATTTTTAAATATATTAAACTGGAAAACCTTTGTTTTAAATTGTAATAATATTTCACAACACTACTGTTTTTACCGTATTTTTGTTTAAATAATTGTAGCCTTGGTGAGCATAAGAGGTTTATTTCAACATTATAAAAGACCCCAAAACTTTGAATGGGGTGTGTGTGTGTGTATGTATATATATATATATATATATATA